TTATGTACAAGTTCTTTCAGTCTAGTATTTCTATGGGTGATAAATATATTATCGGGAAAAAAATTATTGGCACAAAGAACAAGAATATTGTTTTTTTTCTTCTTCTTCTTTTTGCTCGACTATCAGGTGTTCCTGCCTACAAGACATTTTTACTGTAATAGAGTTCATTTATTATCTTATTTACAAAGCAAACATACTGAGTAATTCACCCAGAAATGATCGTTTGATGTGCTAATTAATTAATTCCTGACATTCTTTGATCTTCTGGGAATGACCAATAAAGAAAACCTGCATGGCCAACACAGTTCATCTATTGATGTGAGTGTGTGTATGTGAGTGAGTGAGTGAGTGAGTGAGTGAGTGAGTGAGTGAGTGAGTGAGTGAGTGAGTGAGTGAGTGAGCGTGTGTGTGTGTGTGTGTGTGTGTGTGAGTGTGTGTGTGTGTCTGTGCACTGTAAAAAAATATTTTCAAGATTTGTTATCACAACATATTTTCTTTTGTCAAATCAACTTTATAATAATTTATTTAGTTGAGATAACTTATTATTTTGAGTTTCTCGTAATTAAATCAATCTACTTCATTGTATTAACTCACTTTTTCCAGTTCAATCAACTTAAAATTTTAAGGCAACCAGGTTACTTACTTTTTTAAGTTAAACCAACAATATTTTTTACAGTGTGTTTGTGTGTGTGTGTGCGTGTGCGTGTGCGTGTGCGTGTGTGTGTGTGTGTGTGTGTGAGTGAGTGTGTGTGTGTGTGAGTGTGTGTCTATATGTGTATCTGACTGACTGACTGAGTGTGTGTGTGTGTCTATATGTGTATCTGACTGAGTGTGTGTGTGTGTGAGTGTGTGTGTGTCTATATGTGTGTGTGTCTATATGTGTATCTGACTGAGTGTGTGTGCGTGTGTCTATGTGTTTCTGACTGACTGACTGAGTGAGTGAGTGAATGTGCGTGTCTATATAATATGTGTGTCTGAGTGAGTGAGTGTGTGTGTGTGTGTCTATGTGTGCGTGTGTGTGCTTGGCAAACCTCTCTGTATTTGCTCTGTAAAGACACTCGACACATGAATGCAATCATACAGATTTATGTTTTTTTGGAAGCTGCTCATCTACAAAAGCAGTGAGTGTAGATTGTGCTTGTGATAAAAGAGTGTAAAACACTAAAACTAACCCTCAATCAGGACTAGTGCAGTTTCAGCAGCTACGCGGTTACTTTCATGTCATCAATGGCCATTCTTCATTGTGAAGCGTATAAAACACAGCTGGATCTACCTGTCTGACGATGAGAACGCTGTGAGGAGGGGATGTGGGCTTCAAAAACTAGATAAAAATATCGCAAAGAGCCTTGATTGTGCCGGAGAGCTCTCTGACACCGCGAGAGAGAGAAAGGGCAAGAGAACCAGGAATTAAAAAACATCCTCTTTACTTTGCCAACAGTTCCTCGCCTTTTTAAGCGCAGTCTGCCTCGTGTGTGTGTGCGCGTGTTTCGGGTGAGTAGGTGTCCGTGGATGAGTGGGACTGCCTGGTAGGACGTGTAGGCATCTGTTGCCATGACAACCATCTGCTGTTATGCATAAGCATCCTCTCGGGCTGCCCACACAGTGTCATCGCAGCGAGAGCGAGCGAGCGTTTGAAGCAGTGACTGCTGCACGGTTCATTGTCTGTGTGTTTCATGTAGGCCCAGACAGAATCTGCAAAGATTTCCTAAGATTCTGTGTGCTGGTTTTGGGATTTGAACAGGTTACAACATGTTGGAGAGACCAGCTGAACAAGTACTTTAATATAATATACAGGGAAGAGTTTAGAATAAAATTAGAGATGCGTGCAACCAGGGCATTCACTTTTTTTGCTCAGCGGCCCCTAGGGCTAGCGGTTTTCAAAAGTTACTAGCCACTCAGCATTTTCACTGGCCAATTTTGACATCGATACCATGGGGGGAAAACTACCATATAGATATTTTTAATATTATCTCATAATAGGGCTTGTCACTTTACGTGTGAAAATCCAACACAAGTTTCGAAAATGAAAATAGGGAATCGATTTTTACTGCCTTTTTTCTTCTTTTTTTTTTTTTTTTTTTACCAAAAATAGGTGGACTACGGAGCCCCTCTAGTCCCACTTTGGTAAAAAAAAAATAATTATAACTATCTTGTGACCTCAAGATAGTAACTCGTGGCCTCAAGATAGTAACTCGTGGCCACTATCTTGTGGCCACGAGTTACTATCTTGAGGCCACGAGTTAGTATCTTGAGGCCACGAGTTAGTATCTTGAGGCCACGAGTTACTATCTTGAGGCCACGAGTTACTATCTTGAGGCCACGAGTTACTATCTTGTGGCCACGAGTTACTATCTTGTGGCCACGAGTTACTATCTTGTGGCCACGAGTTACTATCTTGAGGCCACGAGTTACTATCTTAAGGCCACGAGTTACTATCTTGAGGCCACGAGTTACTATCTTGAGGCCACGAGTTACTATCTTAAGGCCAAGAGTTACTATCTTGAGGCCACGAGTTACTATCTTGAGGCCACGAGTTACTATCTTGAGGCCACGAGTTACTATCTTGTGGCCACGAGTTACTATCTTGTGGCCACGAGTTACTATCTTGTGGCCACAAGAGATACTATCTTGAGGCCACGAGTTACTATCTTAAGGCCACGAGTTACTATCTTGAGGCCACGAGTTACTATCTTGAGGCCACGAGTTACTATCTTAAGGCCAAGAGTTACTATCTTAAGGCCACGAGTTACTATCTTGAGGCCACGAGTTACTATCTTGAGGCCACGAGTTACTATCTTGAGGCCACGAGTTACTATCTTGAGGCCACGAGTTACTATCTTGTGGCCACAAGAGATACTATCTTGAGGCCACGAGTTACTATCTTGAGGCCACGAGTTACTATCTTGAGGCCACGAGTTAGTATATTGTGGCCACGAGTTACTATCTTGAGGCCACGAGTTAGTATATTGTGGCCACGAGTCAGTATCTTGAGGCCACGAGTTACTATCTTGAGGCCACGAGTTAGTATATTGTGGCCACGAGTCAGTATCTTGAGGCCACGAGTTACTATCTTGAGGCCACGAGTTACTATCTTGAGGCCACGAGTTACTATCTTGAGGCCACGAGTTAGTATCTTGAGGCCACGAGTTACTATCTTGAGGCCACGAGTTAGTATCTTGAGGCCACGAGATACTATCTTGAGGCCACGAGTTACTATCTTGAGGCCACGAGTTAGTATCTTGAGGCCACGAGTTAGTATCTTGAGGCCACGAGTTACTATCTTGAGGCCACGAGTTACTATCTTGAGGCCACGAGTTAGTATCTTGAGGCCACGAGTTACTATCTTGAGGCCACGAGTTACTATCTTGAGGCCACGAGTTACTATCTTGAAGCCACGAGTTACTATCTTGAGGCCACGAGTTACTATCTTGAGGCCACGAGTTACTATCTTGTGGCCACGAGTTACTATCTTGAGGCCACGAGTTACTATCTTGAGGCCACGAGTTACTATCTTGTGGCCACGAGTTACTATCTTGAAGCCACGAGTTACTATCTTGAGGCCACGAGTTACTATCTTGAGGCCACGAGTTACTATCTTGAGGCCACGAGTCACTATCTTGTGGCCACGAGTTACTATCTTGTGGCCACGAGTTACTATCTTGTGGCCACGAGTCACTATCTTGTGGCCACGAGTTACTATCTTGAGGCCACGAGTTAGTATCTTGAGGCCACGAGTTACTATCTTGAGGCCACGAGTTAGTATCTTGAGGCCACGAGTTACTATCTTGAGGCCACGAGTTACTATCTTGAGGCCACGAGTTACTATCTTGAGGCCACGAGTTACTATCTTGAGGCCACGAGTTACTATCTTGAGGCCACGAGTTACTATCTTGAGGCCACGAGTTACTATCTTGAGGCCACGAGTTACTATCTTGAGGCCACGAGTTACTATCTTGAGGCCACGAGTTACTATCTTGATGCCACGAGTTAGTATCTTGAGGCCACGAGTTACTATCTTGAGGCCACGAGTTACTATCTTGAGGCCACGAGTTACTATCTTGAGGCCACGAGTTACTATCTTGAGGCCACAAGATAGTTATAATTAATTTTTTTTACCAAAGTGGGACTAGAGGGGCTCCGTAGTTGACAGATCAATAGAGGACAAAGAAAATGTCGGATGCTGGATAATAACAATGTCTTTTCTGTTCACTAAATGCTTTTTAATATTCGCTATTACTTTAATGCAAGTGCAAGTGACGTATGTGTTCAAGTAAACCAGAAATGCGCAGATTCTGTGTAATACGCTGTATTTAATACACTGTAAAAAAAAATGTTTTCAATTTACGGTAAAATACCAGCAGCTGTGGTTGCCAGAAATTTACCGTACAAAATAAGGTAGTAAGAATTTACAGTAGTAAGGTTTTACAGACTTAACTTAAAATTTACGGAAATAAAACGTATTTAATTATCTGATATACTGTTAAAGGGTTAGTTCACCCAAAAATGAAAATTAAGTCATTAATTACTCACCCCCATGCTGTACCAACCCCGTAAGACCTTCGTTCGTCTTCGGAACACAAATGAAGATATTTTTGATTAAATTTGAGAGCTGTATAACTACCACATTGGCTCCTAAAGGACTGCCTCTTGACGGCCCAGAATGTCAATGAAGAAAATGTTTAAATATCCCAAGTGACTACAGTGGCTCAACTATATGTTTATCAAGCGACGCGAATACTTTTTGTGCGAAAAAACAAACAAAAATAACGAGTTTATTCGACTATTTCTTTTCTTCCTTGTAGGCCAGAAACGACACTTCCTTAGATTTCCACGACGCATGCGCGAGATTTGCGATCTGCTTACACCAGCTTACACTACTTCAGATCGCAATTCTCGCGCATGCGTCGTGGAAATCTAAGGATCAATCAACTTTCTGTGAGTTTAGATTCCTTGTTGGCCTGGTTTTGAGTTTGTTGACCCCCCTGTCCTTTGCGTTATAGATGGATTCGTCTCTCCAGAGGAGTTTAAGTGTTTTGGATCGTCTTCTCCTCACACACTCCATATGGTTGCAGCTGTCAATCAACCCTGACTCCGCCCACCAAATCCTGCAGCGAGAGATAGTCGGGGTGAGAGAATCCCAACCACCACGTGAAATCAAATCATCATGTTTTTCACTATTGCTCACAATATAAGTCATAATTATAGTTATCATGCCGTGATGTATTATGCCTGCATAACAATAGCCTGTAAGACTGATGTAATTTACTGCGAATCAACCAATTACACTTCAAATAAACACAGTCAGTCTGTGTCATGTCATTGTACTACTTTATTGAATACATTTTTTCAGTTTTTTAATAAATTTTGTCAATTTTCTTAGAAAAAGCACTTTTGAACAACTTTTTATTTTGCAATCACCCCTCGCCACAATACAGTGTGCTTAACTTCTCAATAATGGTTTAATTTTATTATACATGTTCAACTTTGTTGTTGTTGTATAATAATTGGACATATGTATAATATTATACAACTTCAACATATATTATATATCATATCTATCTAATAAAGGGTTTAATGAACTCTGTATCTTCCATCTTTGTCCATAGACGTTTCTGGTGTGTAAGTGTAGCGCCTCCCACAGGAAGGTTCTGTGTGTGCGAGTGCAGGAGGGAGGTGTGTCACAGTATCCCATCCGTGAGGAAGACTCCAGTGAGATTAACACATCACACATACACACACTTTAGCTTCGTTTTTAGACTGAGCTAATGCTATTTTTTTATCCCCTTAAGCCTAACACATTAACATTGGCTCCCCACGACATGTGTTTGTTGTCATATTGTGTTAGTAAGCCAATTATGGTTACTATAGATTAATGCAAATCCTTAACAACTGGTAAATTTACATTGCAATATAAGATATTATTTAGTCTATTTTGGTTCTTCATACTTTTAGTCACCTGTATTATAGCAAAACTTGACATGCATTATATATAGGCTCCCAGCTGATTGTTTTTTTTTTTTTTTTTTGTTCTAGTCAGTCCCTCCAGAAAAACGCGATTATGCGATCGCTGAATTCAATGCAAAATCAGCCAAAGTCCGCATATTTATGCGGGGCCGCATTTTTTCAAATACGCCGCACTTTCGCCGCATAAATTGCCGATTTCCGTGCAAAATATGCGGGGTTTGCATAATTTCATAATCCTTGCATTTTCGTTGCAAAAAAAGTCACATGTATCTTAGCAGAAAGTTGAAAAATGTTGCGTTTGCTTCACACAAGAGCAGCCATTTCCCTCTGTTTCCATGGGAACGTTATGAAGTGACGCAATTACGCGACAGAGGCGATTGACATCTCACAAATCGAACTCGTATAACTGTCTGTCACACGTTCTACCGTCACATCGTTACTTAATAAACAACATAAGATAAAAGAAGTAGCATCAAACAGAAATTACCCGCACACATGGGGTGTTTGAGGCGCACACAATTCAACAGGGAGCGCGCAGCTCTTAAAGGGGCCACACCTTATTTACACTCGTTACACTCTGAAATAAAACAAGATGAGAAATTAAATATTCCCAGCACTTTCTATGATGTAGTATGCTTGCTTATCAAAGGAAGTAATAAGAAATGACTCTTTCATTAGCCTACCCAGATAGCATATTGACATTGAATCAACGTGGAAATATGACGTAGAAACAACGTTGATCTGACATTGTTTTGCTCATCGAATTAACGTTGAACCAACGTCAGACGCGTCATTCTTTCAAAACTAACGGAAAATCAACTTGAAATCAACGCGTTGTTTCAACGTTATGAAAGCAAACCAATTTTCGATTTTCATTTAGCTTTGAAGAATGCCGCGTCTGACGTTGGTTCAACGTTGGCAAAATCAACGTTGTTTCAATGTCATGAGAGACGTCGTTTCCACGTTGATTCAATGTCAGTTTGCTGTCTGGGTAGTGAGAACAGGATGTTGGGGGATTCACTTTTTTTTCTCTTTTTCATCAAACCGCAATTTTTGCAAGTTCCCTCAATTTTTGCAAATTCCTGCAATTTCATCGCATAAAATTGCATAAATATCCCGCATATTCCATCGCATTTTTAAAGAAAACGGGCAGCGTAATCAATCAATTTTTTGCCCACAACAATCACAAAAAAACTCTGCGTTTTTCTGGAAGGACTAAATACTATTATGGTAAATGTTATATATAAATCGCAAATTTTTCACAAATTTTTGGAAATTACCACCACAAAATCAGTCATTTTGATCACAAAAATCACACAAAAAAATCGTGAAATCCTGGAGCGACTGTCTAGTAATGTTTTCAGTAAATAAATAAAGTTTTATATTTGTTCCCAGAACGTGTTCCTAAAAGGTAGGATAACAATCTCTAAAATCATTCTGAAAAAATGTTTAGTATAACATTATCCTCTAAATTCTTATGAAGGTTTAAGCGGGAAGTTTCCCAGTAGGCACTGGACATGGTTAACTCCACAAACATAACCAGTTTGACTTTATTTCTGTCAGACATCTACAGAAGTTTTTATTGAGAGTTTAGATGTTGATAATTGATTGAAAATGTTTCGTTTAAAACAGTGTTTGCTTTAGTTTGGCTCTTGACGTTTGACTTTTTAACATTACTTTTTTACTGGCTGTTGTGTGTTTATAAAACAGACAAATTATCAACAAATGTTTTCACTATAGAATTTTAAAATGTTTAACAGAATGTTTTTCTACCTTTTAGGAAAACGTTCAGGGTACAAAAACAAAACCTGCCGCTGAAAACATTACTTGAACAAAACAATGTCTAACTGGCCTATTCCCAAATAAGACCAGCTCGTACAGTTTCATGATTAATAAACAGCTGGTAAACCTGGTTTTATGTCTGGTAACATTTTTAGGTCGCACGTACTTACATTGAACAATAAGTACAATGTATTATTGTGTTCCTGTTGTATTGTGAAACAGTTTTGCTGCTATTGAGGTGTGATACGGGTAAGGTTAGGGACAGGTGTGGTGTTATGGGTAGGTTTAAGGGTAGGTTAAAGTGTAAGGGATGAATCAGCTGTGTAATTACATGAATTAGTTACAGCTGCTGGTATTTTCAAAATATAAGTACAATGTAAAAACATGTATGTACACAATAAGTCCATTGTACCAAATTATTAGTTTCAATGAAAGTACATTAAGCCACTTAGTATAAAGTGGGACCCATTTTTTATATCTTAAATTCTTACATCTGCTTTGTCATCATTTAGCGTTTTCTCTAGAAAGTTCTGCCCTGAGCTTCCCTGATCTCTGCAGACTAGTGGCGTTTTACACTATTAGCAGGTACATCAAACCACCAAACATTATATAATTCTGGTGCATTAAACAAGTGTTTTATCTATAATGTATTATAATTTATGCTAATTGTGTATGTGTTCAACAGAGATGTATTACCTTTCCCACTGGAGCTCCCCGAAGCAATTATACAGGCCACGACACACACCCAGCTGGAAAGCATTTCGCATCTGGGCTTAGGCAAGAATATTTGTTTTTCACGACCATTTCAAACCCTTCAAACTAAACTAGCCTTTTTGCTGCTGTACCTTTAACAGTTATGTGTAAACACCCACTTAGGATCCTTTACACCCTCTTATATTCAATGCTTATACCAACCTGCAGGTTTGCGGTTTTGCCCACTTGTGCTTTCCTTCAATTACGGTCCCTTTACAAAGTTAGCACATCATTGTGACTGGATCACAAAATTAGTTAGCACTGAAATGTGCTGCTAAAACTCAGGGATATTGTTGTTTTTTTTATATATTCTTTCTTTATCAACACTTGAATGTGTGTAAGTTTCATAAAAAAGCAACATTTTGAACAAAAAGCTGAGAAACTTGTGTGTTTTTTTCCCCCAAAGACTAAAACTTGCATAAACAATGCTTGGATTGCTTGTTTCTGCTCCTTTTTAGTCTGTGTTTTAATCCTGAGATTCTACTCATTGGGTCTCATTCATAAATATACGAGTAAATATACGAGTGATTTGCGCGTAAAGAGACCTTCCCGAAAACTCTTCTCCTGATTCACAAATACTTGGTAAACGTCAGATGTGATAGTGAAATGTGTGTGTTAATGAATTCCAACCAGTCGTAAATGGGCTGCGCGTGCACGTTCATTCTCAATTACCATAAATCCCGCCCATTATATCCGACTGACATCTATATATAGGCATTCAAACTGGAGAAGGACCACCATCGATCACCAGACCTGCTATTACTTATGGAAGCTTGTTTCCGCCATAGAATGAAAAATAAATAAGGTAATTGCGACTTTTATCTCACAATTCTGACTTTTTTTCTCACAATTGCGAGATGTAAAGTCAGAATTGCGAGATATAAAGTCAGAAATGTGAGATTTGAACTATTCTAAAGGGGGAAAAAAGTTAGTATTTTTTCCCCTTAGAATTAGCCTGATAACTCGCAATTGCGAGTTTTCTGAGAAAAGATGTCAGAATTTCGACATATAAACTCGCAATTATGTGTCATAAAGTCAGAATTGCGAGATGTAAACTCGCAATTGTGAGAAAAAGTCAGAATTGTGAGATAAAAAGTCGCACTTCTGTCTTTTTTTCTCAGAATTGCGAGTTTATATCACGCAATTCTGACTTTATAACACATAATTGCGAGTTTATATGTCGAAATTCTGACTTTATATCTCGCAATTCTGACTTTATATCTCACAATTCTGACTTTATATCTCGCAATTCTGACTTTATATCTCACAATTCTGACTTTATATCTCGCAATTCTGACTTTATATCTCGCAATTCTGACTTTATAACACGCAATTCTGACTTTATATCTCGCAATTCTGACTTTATATCTCGCAATTCTGACTTTATATCTTGCAATTCTGACTTTATATCTCGCAATTCTGACTTTATATCTCGCAATTCTGACTTTATATCTCGCAATTCTGACTTTATATCTTGCAATTCTGACTTTATATCTCGCAATTCTGACTTTATATCTCGCAATTCTGACTTTATATCTCGCAATTCTGACTTTATATCTCGCAATTCTGACTTTATATCTCGCAATTCTGACTTTATATCTCGCAATTCTGACTTTATATCTCGCAATTCTGACTTTATATCTCGCAATTCTGACTTTATATCTCGCAATTCTGACTTTATATCTCGCAATTCTGACTTTATATCTCGCAATTCTGACTTTATATCACGCAATTCTGACTTTATATCTCGCAATTCTGACTTTAAATCTCGCAATTCTGACTTTATATCTCGCAATTCTGACTTTATATCTCGCAATTCTGACTTTATATCTTGCAATTCTGACTTTATATCTCGCAATTCTGACTTTAAATCTCGCAATTCTGACTTTATAACACGCAATTCTGACTTTATATCTCGCAATTCTGACTTTAAATCTCGCAATTCTGACTATATCTCGCAATTCTGACTTTATAACACGCAATTCTGACTTTATATCTCGCAATTCTGACTTTATATCTCGCAATTCTGACTTTATATATCGCAATTCTGACTTTATATCTCGCAATTCTGACTTTATATCTCGCAATTCTGACTTTATATCTCGCAATTCTGACTTTATATCTCGCAATTCTGACTTTATATCTCGCAATTCTGACTTTATATCTCGCAATTCTGACTTTATATCACGCAATTCTGACTTTATATCTCACAATTCTGACTTTATATCTCGCAATTCTGACTTTATATCTCGCAATTCTGACTTTATATCACGCAATTCTGACTTTATATCTCGCAATTCTGACTTTATATCTCGCAATTCTGACTTTATATCTCGCAATTCTTACTTTATATCTCGCAATTCTGACTTTATATCTCGCAATTCTGACTTTATATCTCGCAATTCTGACTTTATATCTCGCAATTCTGACTTTATATCTCGCAATTCTGACTTTATATCTCGCAATTCTTACTTTATAACACATAATTGCGAGTTTATATGTCGAAATTCTGACTATATCTCGCAATTCTGACTTTATATCTCGCAATTCTGACTTTATATCTCGCAATTCTTACTTTATATCTCGCAATTCTGACTTTATATCTCGCAATTCTGACTTTATATCTCGCAATTCTGACTTTATATCTCGCAATTCTGACTTTATATCTCGCAATTCTGACTTTATATCTCGCAATTCTTACTTTATAACACATAATTGCGAGTTTATATGTCGAAATTCTGACTATATCTCGCAATTCTGACTTTATATCTCACAATTCTGACTTTATATCTCGCAATTCTGACTTTATATCTCACAATTCTGACTTTATATCTCGCAATTCTGACTTTATATCTCGCAATTCTGACTTTAAATCTCGCAATTCTGACTTTATATCTCGCAATTCTGACTTTATAACACGCAATTCTGACTTTATATCTCGCAATTCTGACTTTATATCTTGCAATTCTGACTATGTCTCGCAATTCTGACTTTATATCTCGCAATTCTGACTTTATATCACGCAATTCTGACTTTATATCTCGCAATTCTGACTTTATATCTCGCAATTCTGACTTTATATCTCGCAATTCTGACTTTATATCTCGCAATTCTGACTTTATATCTCGCAATTCTGACTTTATATCTCGCAATTCTGACTTTATATCACGCAATTCTGACTTTATATCTCACAATTCTGACTTTATATCTCGCAATTCTGACTTTATATCTCGCAATTCTGACTTTATATCTCGCAATTCTGACTTTATATCACGCAATTCTGACTTTATATCTCACAATTCTGACTTTATATCTCGCAATTCTGACTTTATATCTCGCAATTCTGACTTTATATCTCGCAATTCTGACTTTATAACACATAATTGCGAGTTTATATGTCGAAATTCTGACTTTATATCTCGCAATTCTGACTTTATATCTCGCAATTCTGACTTTATATCTCGCAATTCTGACTTTATATCTCACAATTCTGACTTTATATCTCGCAATTCTGACTTTATAACACATAATTTCGAGTTTATATGTCGAAATTCTGACTTTATATTTCGCAATTCTGACTTTATATCTCGCAATTCTGACTTTATATCTCACAATTCTGACTTTATATCTCGCAATTCTGACTTTATATCTCGCAATTCTGACTTTATATCTCGCAATTCTGACTTTATATCTCACAATTCTGACTTTATATCTCGCAATTCTGACTTTATATCTCACAATTCTGACTTTATATCTCACAATTCTGACTTTATATCTCGCAATTCTGACTTTATATCTCGCAATTCTGACTTTATATCTCACAATTCTGACTTTATATCTCACAATTCTGACTTTATATCACGCAATTCTGACTTTATATCTCGCAATTCTGACTTTATAACACATAATTGCGAGTTTATATGTCGAAATTCTGACTTTATATCTCGCAATTCTGACTTTATATCTCGCAATTCTGACTTTATATCTCGCAATTCTGACTTTATATCTCGCAATTCTGACTTTATGTCTCGCAATTCTGACTTTATATCTCGCAATTCTGACTTTATATCTTGCAATTCTGACTTTATATCTTGCAATTCTGACTTTATATCTAGCAAAAAATTTTTTTTTTCAGTGGCGGAAACAAGCTTCCATAAATTAGTACTGGCTCTCATAATAGAAGTAAAAAGAAAAACCTTTATATTATTACTATATAAAATATTTTTTCAAAATGCTGTTTAAATATGTACCCGATTAAGGTGAATTAAAATGCAGCCTTATTAATGAGCAAAACGTTCGGATGTTAAGCGCACCATATACGCGTGGCTGGGAGCGGGTGTAGATTTCTTGCGTACCAACTAACATTTGGAAAATACGAACGTTTTAATGAATCCTAAAATTTTCGCCAGAACCACTTTACACGCTATTTACACACAAATTCGTTTTGCTCGTGTTTCATGAATGAGACCCATTCAGAGGATGCGTAATCAATACCCCCCATGACTCATAAATGATGGAAAAATCCATCAATGGAGGACAAAGAGTTGAAACAAACGTCAGCCACTCATTTATTGGTGCTGGAAACAAGAGTGACACACTGTCCCAAAATCGTACTCTTAATTTTTGTTAAATTCAAACTAGCATGTACCAGCTAGCTAAGCAAAATCAGCCAGCATGCCAAATTGTTTCACCAAATAGATCTTGTTTCAGTAAGTTGCAAAACTTGTGATGTTACGTTTTCGTTTTACATTGAAAGCTATTTCAATAGAATCTAAAAGCTATGGCTACTGGCTCTAAAAGGTTCATGTGCAATTGTGTTTTCCATTTCATTTTCACTCTTTGCAACCTTCCATGGCTCTTTCAGAGTTCTGGAGCTCTCAGACGTCCCCTGGCCTTCCTAACGGCCCCCCTCCGCCCTCAGCGCCCCACCGGACATCCAGATTGATCAGCCCATGTTTTGTCAATCCCCTGTTCCTTCAGCCTCCCCAACCCAGTAGAACCGCCTCACACAAACGCCACCGCTTCAAACGCAGCCTCAGGGTCCGTGTGTCCAATGAAACCTCTCTCAGCCTGTCAGGTGGAGAATCGGACCTAACCCAGGGGGAGACACACGGGCAAATTGCCGACCAGGGCGGCCCGAGACGGACAGGAGGATTGAGCGTGCTCAGGAGGACTCCGGCACTCACTCCCACTTCAGTAGAGGAGGACGAACAGATGTTGGGACAGATACCACCCGTAAGTATGTGGACCCTTGGCTGATTGAGTTTTTTTTCAATATGAACCAACATACTTGCTGGTCGCTGGAAACATTAGGGTTAGGTTTTGGCTAAAGGTGAAGATTAGGACAGGAGTGTCCAATCATGGAAGGGAATGTAGCTCCAATGAACCTGCCTGGAAGTGTTAGTGCTCCTTGTTTAGGTGTGTCTAATTAGAGTTAGAGCTAAACTCTGCTTGAAGGTGGACCTCCAAAAGCAGGATTGGACATTGGGATCTCTAAACAACATAATCTGTTTACGATTTCCCTCTGACTTTAGGTCTTGTTAATGGTTAAAGTTGGGGTTGATCTTAGGGTTAGGACTATGTTTGCTTGACAGAAAAGTTGGCTAAATCATAGTCACCATACCCGTGTGACTTTCCATGATTTTTGATGGTAGGAGACATTTCTGGATCAGTGTTCTTGTTCGTACTGGACCAATCATCCAATTAGATTTTAGGTGTATGTAAGAGGTTATGCAAGAGGTGTTCAATCCTGCTCCTTGAGGGCTTCATTCCTGCAGTATTTAGCGGTTGTATTTATTATTTTATGCATCAGTTAGGCTTTGGGGTGGGATATGGCAAGGCTAACCAATCGTGCTTCTGGAGGGCTACTTTGGAGGACTTCAGTTCTAGCTGTTCATTTTTAAGTAGTCCCAGAGCCCATCTAACGGAGAGCCTTGGCACTTCCTATTAGCCCCGTTGTGTATCATCCTGGTTGCAGTTCCATTAGAATTCCACTGGAGGTGATCACGGGCGAGTGCAGAATGAATGGGAGTCTATGGGGCTAAACGGCTAAATGTGTCTCTTTCACCTACTTGTCGTTAAGTCAAAATAGATTTTATTGTTGATTCCGCAAGTTCAATATAGATTATAGGCCAAAAGTCGAATGAACGAGTACTTATGTCCTTTCGATGTCTTACAGGTTAGGCCGTTGTTGGCCAGAACACGCTTGCATTCTGCTATTGTGTGACGTCATCACAGTTTTGAACGGATTTTTAGAACAGATAAGTGAACTTAAAAATGCAATTTTCAGCTGAGTGTATTATCTTAGCCCTCCCCTTTGAATGCAACTTTCAAATTACTTGACAAAAAATTACATCCTGAGAAAAGTGGATTTATGGGGGTGAAACCCCATTGACTCACATTCATTCTGCACTCGACCACGAGCGCCCCCGCATGGACAGAGACGCGTTACTGCAGCCAGTCCAGAACCCGGAAGTAACCAGCCAGTGCCAATTCTCTTCAATTAGACATTCTCTGGTAGTCCTGAACACCTTGATTAGCTGTTTCAGGTGTGTTTGATCAGGGTTGGAGCTAGACTATAGGATGGTAGCCGTTCTGGAGCACCCATTGGCATATGGGGTCGAACCCCTCAGGTAATAGTTATAGGCATATGGGAAGGGTTATGAGTGTCTTCGATGTACAATAACATTTCGGGGCCAACAAAAAATGGAACAGAAGCATATCCTACTTGGCTAAATCATGGTCTCCACGCTACTGTGCTGAAGTTAGCGCGGGTGGAGAAAGGTCAGCACAAATATAACCTTTACTTGTTAACTGCCTCCTACAACCAATATAATGATATTCCACATACTGTGCCTACACCACACTGTGGTTCTGGAAGGTCATGATCGTGATGCCTGTTTGAAAATAGTAGGCTAAACATTGTTGTTTTTACCTTATCCCCTTCCACATCATGTGGTTGTCTAGAGTAACTCCTTACCCCAAAGAGACAACGCTGAACTCAACAAAGACACGGACAATGGTGAGGTGTGTCTCGCTTTGGAAAGAACCCGAGCTCCTTCCCTTGCTGAACTGGACAGCAATAGTTCTTTTAGCAGCTTGGAGGAAGAGGAAGCCCAGGACTTCGCCCACCAATGGCCGCCTGCGGCACGCGGGACCCGTTTCCCCTCAGCGAACCCGACCTCGACTCTACGCCGCATGACCGCTGCCTTTGTATGTGTGTTTGCTCCTGAGCGGCGAGTTGCCCGATTGGTGGACGAGCTCTCCCATGAAAAACGCTCCACGTTTGGGTCATTGGTGCAGGACTTCTTGGAGAAACAGAGGCAGGAGATGGAGGCCTCAACGTATAGCTCTGCTGTGGAGTTGCTTCAGGGCTTGAGGATGTTTCTGTCCCAAGCCAAAAATCTCCTTCTTGAAGCCGGAGAGATTGAACCTCCAATTGAGACACTGGTGCCTGAGAACGAGAAAGGTAAGAAGGCATCACTCGAACAACGACGCATTGCTGATGCTGGTAGCTCAAACAGTAGAGTAGACACTAGCAACGCCAAGGTTATTAAAATCAGTGTATGAACTTATAAAGTGTAATCTTTTGGCCTCCAGCACAGCAGCCACTAGGCCACAACACCCCCACTTTTAACTGGTAATATAGAAGTATATATGAATGAAAATAGACCTTTTTGTTGAAGAAAATGTTACTGGTAATTACACAAGTTGGGACCACAATGCAAAGGTTTTGTGAGTGGTTGGCAGAATATTGCTAGGATGCCCTTGGCGAGTGTTCATAGATGATTGCCTTAAAGGGATAGTTCACTTTGAAATTAATTTTTGATATGTTTTATCTTACCTCAAGGGCATACAAGATGTAGGTGTCTTTGTTTCCACAGTATTTTCAATTTTTACATTTTTCAGTCAAACCGTTGTTGTCTATCAGTCATACACTGGAGGCAAAGGGGGTCCACCAAAGAGCATGCACAGAGAAGTCAAAATTAAACATGATTTAATGACTCATAAATGTAAGAACACATTGATGGCCTAAGACACGAAACAAGCGGTTTTTGTGAGAAAACGAACAGTATTTATATCGTTTTTACCTCGTGTAATCACAGTGATCTGAATCAGTTGTGCAATGTCCAACTGAACCGAACTGAATCAGTTCAATGTTACGCCGGAAGTGATCGCTTGCGTGTGACGTCACTCAATATTTACACAGAGATTTCGGAAGTTTTACCTTTTACTAAACATATTTAGATATACGGGAAACCGCAATGGAAGACGATTTCGGTATATCTAAATATGTTTAGTAAAAGGTAAAACTTCCGAAATTTCTGTATAAACAAAGAGTGACGTCGGCGGGCAAGCGATCACTTCCAGACCGAAGCGCCCGTGCCGTCAGATCATTTTGTCATGGCTATGATTACACGAGGTAAAAACGATATAAATACTGTTCGTTTTCTCGCACAAACCGCTCGTTTCGTGTCTTAGGCCATCAATGTGTACTTACATTTACGAGTCATTAAATCATGTTTAATTTTGACTTCTCTCTGCATGCTTTTTGGTGGACCCCCTTAGCCTCCAATGTATGACTGATAGACAACAACGGTTTGACTGAAAAATGTAAAAATTGAAAATGCTGTGGAAACAAAGACACCTACATCTTGGATGCCCTTGAGGTAAGATAAAACATATCAAAAATTAATTTCAAAGTGAACTATCCCTTTAATTTCAGGCCTCATTCATATGTGGAAATAAATCTGATATGAATCAGATACGTCCACCTGCCATGTAAGCATACAGATCGGGTGTTTCCCTGTAAATGTGAGTCGGATGACGTGGACACCAACCGTGATCACATGAATCTGTTCAATGGCACAATGGAGGATAAAGTCTCCACCCAATGTTTTGCTGCCCCTTTAAGATGCGTAAAGCAAAATCTTGTATTATTTCGTCTGCATCCATTGTAAATCGTGCTGTTTTTACTTCCTTATCAGCCTTTTCCGGGTCAGTACGTCTACCTTGGGTTGATTCGCCAAGTTTATAGTGTAAATCATGAATGGGTCACTTTTAAAAGAAGATGTTAGCGTGATGTCAATTTGTTTTAATATAGTCAACAAATCAGAATTTGGCTTTAAGACCTGCAGTGTCTTTTCATTTGACTCGGGTCCTTCTTTTAATAAATGCAGGAAGCAAAACATAATTCAGGTCGTGTTTACAGTTCAAGCAGTGCTGTAAAGTTACACAAGAGTTTAATACGACTGAATACACTAGGATTTAGTTTAAACCCTAAGTTTGAGCAATATTAATTGGGACGCTTGACTTGGCAAACACCAATACGGATTTTACAGGAAGTAAATGACTCAACACTATGGATTGCATCACTAAATCCAATCAGTTGGTTTTAAAAACTATAAAACCTTTGGAGTGGATAATGTATCCTTTGATATATTGAATTTCTGGAAAATAGTGTTTATGTTTGAATTGCACTGTTACAGTACTTTTATTAACACAGATTTGCTGTAAAAGTACTACTCCCGTTCTCTGATGCACTTGTAAAGTCTTATATAGTACCAAATATGTTCCTTAAAAAATATGTTCTCGTGTAAAAAGAACATGCAGTACCGCATTGGTTAAGACACAAGTTTAAGTTGCCGTAGATCTGTTTTTGATACCGCAGAACAATCACGTCACTCAAATAACAACATCCACTCTTTCATAACCCTGCATTGCTGGGATTATGAGCTGATTATGAGATATCTCCCCCAAATCAAAGCAAGAAATCCGGCCACATCCTTGGGGATGGATGCTGTTTCAGATGTTGGTGGAGGCATTCGCATTTTCCACTTTGCATTTATCATTAGCACATTGCACATTCCCACGCATACTTTAGGAAGCGTGTGGAGAGAGAGCGCAGAGATAGAAGGAGGGATGGGGAGGTGATTTTGCACAGTGCACAGATTTTCCTGTTTTGCCATAATGTGTCTGGCTCTTTCTTCTACTGTACAAACATCAATTTGCCATTGAACAGAGCTTGTTTATTATTTTCGCCAAGCTGCTCAGTGACTGTATGTTCAGACTCTTTGTGTGGGAAACATTTAAAATCACTAACCTCGCCTATAAAAAGTTACATTACAAACCAATATTTCAATTACGGGGCGGTCAAGGCCATATAAAGCCAGTAAACGCTGTAAATTGCACAAGGGCACCAGAAAGAGCCTGAAATAACCATTCACAGGGATGATTTCAGATTTTAAAGTGCACTTTGCTGTCATGTGACCCACAGATCTAGCCCTGGAAAAGGCTCTGTTTGGCTGCGTGTTGAAGCCGTTGAAGATTCAGCTGCACCAGACGCTCGTATCTCTCCACACTCAGGACGGCTCTTTACGGAGGATCACAGACAGCTTGCTGGCCTACCAGGAGGGGGCGCTGGAGCGCCTGGCTGTGCGAGTGGGAGTCCTGGACGTTCGTGGTATAGACCGAGCGAAGGCAAAGCTCACGCTGATGCAGCGCAGCCATTCGCCCATTGACAAGGTGTTGCTTCTGCTGCAGGTGTGCAAGAGTGTGTACAAGGCTATGGGGACGCAACCAGGTGAGAAAAGATTTAGAAACTGGATTAGGGCAACTTTAAGATGTTAAAGTTAAGACTTTTCCTCATTTCCTCTGCAGATCAGGAAGTGGGGTCTGAGGATTTCCTACCGGCACTGTCCTACGTGCTTGTTCAATGTAATGTCCCACAACTGCTGCTGGAGACGGAGTACATGATGGAGCTGCTTGAGCCGGCATGGCTGACCGGAGAGGGTAATGGAGAAGTCACAAAAACACACCGACTCTGTTTAACTCTTTCCCCGCCAGCGTTTTAAAAAAAAGTTGCCAGCCACCGCCAGGGTTTTTGACGATTTTCGCTAAATTTGAATGCCCCCGCTGAATATTTTCTTCCATGAATATATGAAGATAAAATATATATAAATAAAGATCTGAGCCTCTGCTTTTAGGCAAAAAAAACGTTTTTATTTTATCTTCATCTGTTCTTTTTTTATTGCCTCTTGAACAGAGGTAGGTTTTGTCAAAAACACAACATTTTGGACAAAAAACTGAGAAAAAGGTGTTTTTATCAAACAAGTGCATTTAAAAGCAGAATACATTCAGATGTTGTTTCCTTCATATATAAAACTTTCCAAAATAAATTAAAAACATAAAATAAATGTAAAATATATCAAATTTCCCAGGATGTAAGGGAAATGTAACTTTTGCAATAAAACTTCTGCCTCTGCCTCTCTGTGTTCTACCTGTGAATAATGAATAATTGGAATTACAATAAACAGGCCTAGACACACACACACACACACACACACACACACACACACACACACACAAATACATATTACAATGTGGTAAATGTGCACAAAGAGAGAAATAATTTGACAATTACACCTTCATTTAGACAGCCACACATAAATGCCTGCACACACACATACATATTATAGTGTCATAATATTATACGATCTATCTGCGGCACGTCCATGGCATGAACATGTGCATCTCTCTCACTGACTACTTCGTCCCGATCAGATTCAGAATTATCAAATAAAGAGTGATCGGACTCCGAGTCCATTAACCTCCAGTACTTCAGCCATATACCTCTGCATTGTCTGTCTGATACATTCTCACTACTCCACTGTTTGAGACGATTGCAATCTGTTTCTCTAAACAAAGAGTTGCGCAATCATTCAGGACATGCGCGCAGGTCTTCCTTACCGTATACCACCTAAAACACGGATACCCGGAAAATTCCGTGTTTGGCGCAGATGCGTTTTTTCATTAAACACGGAAAATTCCGTGTTTGGCGGGGAAAGAGTTAAAGAGGTCCTATTATGCTTTTTTACATGTTCATCTTTCTTGATTGTGTAACGTTGCTGTTTGAGCATAAAAAAGTTTCAAAGCACAAAGTCCCTCTAGCGGGAGTTATTCTCTATGTCACTGTTCCCTGAAACGCCTCCATTGTAGTCTTGAGTTTTCTTCCGGAAACTAACACGTGACAATATCCATCATTTAAATTATTCATGTCCAAAATAAAGGGTTGGGGCCTGGTTGAGTTAGTTAGTGTGTGGAAACTTGTGAATAGGGTAAGAGGCGGGGCGTTTCCCAAACTCTCTCAATGCACTTGACCAATCACAACACAGTGATCCAGCCGACCAATCAGAGCACACTGGTCCAGCCGACCAATCAGAGCACACTGGTCCGGCTGACCAATCAAACAAAACTGGTCCAGCCGACCAATCAGAGCACACTGGTCCAGCTGACCAATCAGAGCACACTGGTCCAGCCGACCAATCAGAGCACACTGGTCCAGCCAACCAATCAGAGCACACTGGTCCAGCCGACCAATCAGAGCACACTGGTCCAGCCGACCAATCAGAGCACACTGGTCAAGCTGACCAATCAAACAAAACTGGTCCAGCAGATCAATCAGAGCACACTGGTCCAGCTGACCAATCAGAGCACACTGGTCCAGCCGACCAATCAGAGCACACTGGTCCGGCTGACCAATCAAACAAAACTGGTCCAGCCGACCAATCAGAGCACACTGGTCCAGCTGACCAATCAAACAAAACTGGTCCAGCCGACCAATCAGAGCACACTGGTCCAGCTGACCAATCAAACAAAACTGGTCCAGCCGACCAATCAGAGCACACTGGTCCAGCCGACCAATCAGAGCACACTGGTCCGGCTGACCTATCAAACAAAACTGGTCCAGCCGACCAATCAGAGCACACTGGTCCAGCTGACCAATCAAACAAAACTGGTCCAGCCGACCAATCAGAGCACACTGGTCCAGCTGACCAATCAAACAAAACTGGTCCAGCCGACCAATCAGAGCACACTGGTCCAGCCGACCAATCAGAGCACACTGGTCCAGCTGACCAATCAAACAAAACTGGTCCAGCTGACCAATCAGAGCACACTGGTCCAGCTGACCAATCAGAGCACACTGGTCCAGCTGACTAATCAAACAAAACTGGTCCAGCCGACCAATCAGAACACACTGGTCCAGCCGACCAATCAGAACACACTGGTCCAGCTGACCAATCACAACACAGTGATCCAGCCGACCAATCAGAGCACACTGGTCCGGCTGACCAATCAAACAAAACTGGTCCAGCCGACCAATCAGAGCACACTGGTCCAGCTGACCAATCAGAGCACACTGGTCCAGCCGACCAATCAGAGCACACTGGTCCAGCCAACCAATCAGAGCACACTGGTCCAGCCGACCAATCAGAGCACACTGGTCCAGCTGACCAATCAAACAAAACTGGTCCAGCAGACCAATCAGAGCACACTGGTCCAGCCGACCAATCAGAGCACACTGGTCCAGCTGACCAATCAAACAAAACTGGTCCAGCCGACCAATCAGAGCACACTGGTCCGGCTGACCAATCAAACAAAACTGGTCCAGCCGACCAATCAGAGCACACTGGTCCAGCTGACCAATCAAACAAAACTGGTCCAGCCGACCAATCAGAGAACACTGGTCCAGCTGACCAATCAAACAAAACTGGTCCAGCCGACCAATCAGAGCACACTGGTTCAGCCGACCAATCAGAGCACACTGGTCCAGCTGACCAATCAAACAAAACTGGTCCAGCCGACCAATCAGAGCACACTGGTCCAGCTGACCAATCAAACAAAACTGGTCCAGCCGACCAATCAGAGCACACTGGTCCAGCTGACCAATCAAAAAACACTGGTCCAGCCGACCAATCAGTGCACAGTGTGCTTTTCAGAAGGAGGGGCTTCATAGTGACCGGAACTAAACTGAGTGTTACTGATAGGATGGGAAAAAAGGTGCTGCAACAATATCAAATATAGAGTGTTTTTTGAACATTCAAGCATTAAAAAAACTCTCTTAGTAGAGTCCAAAAACAACATCAAGACTTTGTAAAAGTCTTTTAAAACTCTAGTTACTTTTAACGTGAAGGTTGTGTCAAAAACTAGGTGGCACATTTA